GGTTGCATATAGGCGTGCGCGTGACGCTGCACTACTGCCACTGGTGCCAGTTCGACGCGTGTGCACGCGTTAAACCATTTGATCTCAAGCACTATTTTACTAAATTCTGATTCTAATGCAATCTGATTAGTTATCCCAAAATTCGCCAACGCTTTTTACTTCCTCTTTGACTTAAAAAAAGGTTTCCCACTTCTTCCACCTAATCAGTAATGTTATGTAACGAGCTTAGCCCGTTTAATCTACTCGATCATGATCGTTGAGCTAACCCACAAAAGTTTTCTGCCAAAACTAACCTCCTGCAAACCAGATTCGGTCATAGCCTCTGTCGATTCGAACACGAACATTACATCGTTCCACGATGTCGAATAGTTGCATACACATCCTTTGGCCTCAACATTTACAGCAACGGTGGTTGTCGATTGCGGATTTGGATTTTTTGTTGTTTCTGACTGTGCCACAGATGTAGAAACCAAATTCTTAGCAATTGTTGCTGTAGAAGACTTCTTTGTGGTGGATGAATTCCCAGTGGCCTTGATTGTTGGAACAGCATCACCGTTCGGATCACATGAAATAAGCAAACTCTGCTTGGAATTACTGTGTGGTTGAGTAATCAGAAGGCAGAATTCTTACAGGATGCAAAGGTCAAAATTCATCTAAGGGGTTCCAATCTCATTCAAATTAATGTTGGAAAGGTAAGATATATTAAACATGACTTCTACAATTCGTTCAAAGTGCTACTTTTCCTCAATAAAAGCAATTCTCACTAGGTTCTAAACAAAGGGTACCTTGAATACGTCTAAGTTACGTTCTCCTCAATCGTTCTTAGCCCAAAGGCGGACGCAGACAGTTCGGAAGGAGAAGAAATTGTATGTGCAAATGTCTTTATTTACTTAGCTTTGAAATTAATTTGTAGAATTTCTTTAGTAAGCGCTCCCAAAGAGGAAATTTGCTGTGAGGCTAGTAGTTTACATATACACTAGAGCAGCCGATAGTGCTTACAGTTTTTTTCACGAATTACTTCTATTCTATATTGATTTCAGAAATCAAATCTCGAGAATGAACAGAATAACAAATCCTTGCACCATCCTTTCAATAAAATTGTTTGAACTTATCGGAAAGAGTAACATTAGAGCGGCCCAATGTTAAATTTACATTGATTTGAATTGATCGAGAATGAACAGAATAACAAATCCTTGCACCATCCTTTCAATAAAATTCAATGTAAGTTTTGCAAATCAAATCAAGCTTCAAAAGTTCCAGCCAAAAATAAGACTTTTTCCTTGATTATGGCGATGAGTCCCTAACTAGATAAGAATAATTTTTTAATCGATTAACTGGTAAATTATAAATTATGGTAGACGAGAAAATCATTTCACGCGTTTAATTTGCCACCCACTCAACCTTCTTGCGCCAGCAGTGCTATCTCGCAAAAGTTAATGAATGTTTTGGCATACGGTAATATTGCACCGATGCACTCGTCCCATCAGCGCTAAAAGAACCCAAAATCTTTGCTTCTATTTGCGCTAATTGAGATTCATAAAATCTGCTTGGACTTTTGTCGATCTATTGATCTCTTGCCTCATGTAATTGAACACTTTCAAAAGAATGTGTTTAGTTACATCGGCAATATATTTATAGTAGTTTTGGTAATATCATAAGGAAACGTTGAGGTTAGTTCGAGGCGTAGTCAAAATAAGAGAAATCAATTG